AAAAAAAACATAGCAGAGTTTAATAAAACTGATGACTCTTGAAGGGATTTAGCTTATGTTTTTTTTTTGTTTAATCAAATCGACATTATTTTTATTTGAGTCAGAATATTTAATGTTTACATACTATGTACTTTAGATTGGGTCGGACGCTATACGAAAAAAGCTTCTAATAACTCAACTTGCTTTGAAATCTCACTAAGCAAAAAATTTTTGTGGAAAAAATGTCTGAGGGCCATCTGCTCAATGAAATATAAATGTCTAGCTAAACCTTTCGAGATTTAAGGCAACTTGAGTTTTGAGCTTCGAAGCATCCAAATTAAATTGTTGCTGAGCGAAATATTCACCCAGTTTCTGATGGTAGCTCAATGGCCGAAGCTGGATCGGTCAGATGTTTTATCTGGCAAACTCGAGTGACATGACCCCGCTAATTCGCTACTCATTCAATCTCCTCTAACATTTCAGCATGAGGTACATCGACCTAAAGCTCTTAGGGCTAGTATATGCAGTCATCTTACCAACTTTGGGGATAAAAACCACATCAACTAGTCTCCTTGATTGGGGGTAAGTACGTTTATACTGTCGGGTGTGGGGAGCGCGTAACCATCAACTGATTGGCAGAGAAATTAGTCTTTAACAGAACTGAAATATGATTACTCCTTGTCCGCAAAGAAACCATAAAGGTCTCTTGTGTAAACCCAGCTTAATGATTTGGTCTTTCAAAAGGCCTTTCAGAAGCGTAGCTGTTTGACTCAAGGTATGAATATCACTTCAGTATTCTTTACACGGAGCCCTCTTCGATGAACGAACGATGAACCCGATTGTGGTAGCAGAGGAAGAGCGAGTCCCCCACTGCGATGGAAATAGGGTGACCAGATGAGTTGAAAGAAAAATCAGGACACCTCATTTCTGAAAGTTAGCACAATACTTTCTTCCCCATCAGATCACAAGAGCTTCTATATTTGAAAAGGAGAGAAATGCCGTTAGACATGATAATACTTAAGGCGACATAATTTTAGGCGGCACGCATAGAGGCTAGGAGTGCCCCACAACGACTTTTGTAGAAGCAGTTTCGATGAGGAAGAGTCTGAAACTATCAGGCAGCTACTCATATTCGCTGACTCCACAAATTGGTTTAAAAATAGCGGTTTTTGAGATCTCTGTGATATCACAAAGGGCTCATTTGCAGGTCTAGGTGTGCTGGCAAGTTGACCAGCAGCCGCGTAAACTGAACCTAACTTTCATCTATCCAAAAACAGTTTGCAGAAAAGGAGAACGAACTTACGTATAGTAAAAAAAGTCGTAAAATTTCTTAAAAACGGAAACTCTAATTTTTTGTTTAATTAATTTTTGGTTTAATAGCATCTCCGAGAAGAGTTTCATTTGTAAAAAAAAGCATTTCATATTTTCGAAAATTAGTTTAATATATTTTTTAGAACTCAAACTTAGAAATCCGCGACATTTCCAGTACATTTTGGTTTTTTTTTTTTAATTATCGTCTTTGCTCCTCTTGTAAAATAATGTACAGTTGAACTCTGATCTTTTGATTAGACATTCCGCCTTCGCGAAAATTGTTGAAATATCGCGTACATCAGTTTTAGAAAAGCTTCACTCGAACCCACATAATGTCACTTTCTTTTGCAAAATAGTAAGTCAGACAGCAAACAAAAGAAAAAAATCAATTTTAATGTCGTTTCATATACATACATATGTTTTTGTGCACTGTCTAGAGAGCATGTCAAGCCGTTTAAGAATATGAAGAAAAGGTGTAGATACATTTTGTGTTTGTTCTTTTCATTACTTAAGGTCAGGGAAAACTTTACTTAGTAAAAAAGGTGAAAGCTCATGAAAGATCTTTGTACGCTACATGACAATTCGACACTTTCTCAAGACACTACATTTGTAGTAAAGTTTTCGGAAAGCAATTAGAAATTTTTTTACAGTTGTTTTGATTCGCTTACAAAGCAACACCATGACCACCAGTGACTTCATACAATACTATGCAAATAAATACAGTGACTCAAACGAGTGTTCACATGTTGATTTTTTGTTTTTTTTTTGATTCGCAATGTTTTTCGAGCTAGTATTTTTTATACTTTAACCAAAACCATATAAATCAAAGTTTCAAACTTTATAGCATTCTCATAAATATTTCAAACTTTTTAATCTGAATTTTTAGAAAAATTTTGGGTATGGAGTTTTATAGTGTAATTAAGCGAAAGTTTCAAGGGGCTAGAAAATCACGTTAATTTTTAATAAACATATTTTTTTGCTGACAACTTTTGCGTTTCTTTGCATACAACATGTGAAATTTGTAATGATTTTTTGTGCGAATGGTGTTGCGCATTTTTCCCCATCAGAAATTCAACTTTATATGGAAAAGAGTGCAAAAAGTAGTCAGCAAAAAAAATTTAAATCAACGCAATTTTTTAGCTGCAGTATTTTTAATGAAAGATATATAAAAATTCAAATACTAAGTTCGATTAAAATTTGAAAGTTTGTTTTACATAATATATTTATGTATATTTAAAAAAAAAAAATATCAAAAAAATGCAACTTGAAAAACATTGTTATATTAACATCTGAAAACTTGTTTGAGTCACTGTAAGTCCCTATTCAAATCACTTGCACCAACTACTTACTACGTATTAGCAATGTCGTAACACCAAAGACTTGGCTTACTCGTAGCTGCCACGACTTCTTATCAAATTTAACGAGAATTCAAAGCACGCAATTCTGCACGAAGCTGCCAAGTGGATGATGATGTAGTACAGCGGCAGATTTGGATATCAGAAAAGTGGTAGATATATAAACAACAATTCTTTATACAACGGTTTCAAAGACAGAACAGCGACAGAATATGCGACATCGAAGCGTAAGATAAAAGTGCATTTTAGCGAATCTATTGCAAAAAAAAAAACAAAACAAAGTGGTGAAATAATTGCAGCAAATTTGAATATTTCTTTTATACGCTTGTGCACATTTTTACATAAAAATGTCCGGAAAATTTATATGCTGTGCATTAGTGCTAATTTCGCTAGCTGTGCTCTCGGTGAGTTTTGAATATCAGTGAAGCCAAAAACACAAACACTAACGAAAACTTCCCAAACATCCACAGGTGAATGCCGGCTGTGTTTGCAATGAGAAGGGTGTCGATTATTGTGCCAAGCACAAGGAACCGGTATTTGTGCGTCCCAAACCACGTTATGTCTATCCGAATCCAGACCTGGATCTCAAACCCATCGGTGACACCTGCTCATGCAATAAAGTGTTCGTTGAACCGGCGACAATGCCCAAGCCATGTAACAAAGTACGTGATACGTTCCAATGGTTTTGGACATGGAATAATTTACTAAAACGCAAAGCAATCGAAGCTGTGATTAACGCCAAGCATGAACACATCAATCGTCTGCATAAACGTCTTACTAATCTAGAGAATGTTGAAACCGAATATTTACCTATGAGCACATAAATAAGCGATCAGTAAATAATTCGTTCGACAATCATATCATATTTCCATATACATACATATATAAAAGTGCGCTTGCTTATAGCGATCTTTCAGCTGACATCTGCATAAATACCTACATACAAACATACAAACAAATATGCATCGGGTACATTCATTATTTACCATTTAGGGCAGAGTGTGTACGAGACTTCCCTACCGACATCATAATCATTTGTTTTACACATTATCAAATTACAAACAACATCGAAATCATCATTTCACTAGTTGAACGTGCGTTTTGTGTCAACAAATTGGCGCGCCTCAAGTTTTTTTTTTGTTTTGTACCATCAACCGCACGCGTTCGGCGCGCTTTAGTTTTTAATTCGCTACAACTGGTATTAAAACACCCTATTTCTATAATTTTATTCGAATAGAAGCCAACGCCAAAATATCCAACATGCAATTGTAATTCACCGCCTACGTCAAACTATTATCCACAATCGCCCAACTACCACCCACCAGCGTCCTCAACGCCCAAATATGGCACCGATTATTATAAGCCGGCTCCACTACCACACCGACCACCAGCGCCACCAGCGCCTAGCGCATGCGGTTGTGGGTATTCACCAACAGCACCTGCATATCCTCTGCCTGAGTAAGTCTAAAAATATTCCACAAAAATGATTTCCTTACCCTAAACCTCTATTTCTGTCAATCAATTTCAGTATAACTTATGCAAAACCCAAAGATACGACGAGTAACTCCATTCCCGCTGATCCTATAAGCATCAGTTTGGCTTTGCAAGCTACTAAAGCGGTAGCGGTACCCGAAGCCAAGTTAGCTTATGGCTTTGCAAAGCAACCAGTTGATAGTATGAAAAAGATTACTTTCTCCAATGTGCCAGAGGAGAATCTCTTCAAGTTGAAAAATGATGTAATTACATACAAAAAGCCCACACTCTCAGCATCACCGGCGTCTGAGGAAGTGATCGAAACCGAAGAAGAGGAAGTGGTGGAGGCGCCTGACGCACCTACCCTCACATATCAGCAATTGGGCTATGTACCCGAACAGTTTAAGAATCCAAAGTTCCGTAAGATCACTACAACTCATAGTGATGATTATTATTCGAATGAAGCCCAAGCGATTCCGGATAAAGTTACGGTGGATTGCGGTTATAGAGCTGGACGCGTTGCGGCGTATATCAAAAGAAAACAAAAGACAGCTGAATATTATTGAGCGTAGAGCATCGTACAGTTCTATAAGTGACAGATTGTAGGCGTGTTTATAGTTAGTGTATTGGTGTTGGTTGATTCAGTGTTTTTAGATAAACGATAATTCCAGAAAACTGGTGATCTCAGCTGTAGGCATTTTTTCACAATCAGCTGATAGTGGTTTTTCTTAAGAGACTGTACGATGGCGTAGAGCCTAGTTTTAACAAAAGAGACCATCAAACGATTCATACATACATATGTATGTAGTTCATACTTCTGTAAGTAACGTAAGCCTTAAAAAATTGTTACGCGATATTTTTTTACCTTTAATTTAATATGAATAAAATATTAATTTAATAAAAACTTATTTTTTACGTTTTCTTTGTTTAATGTGTTGTTATTGGAGCGTAGGTTGGTACTAAAAAATGGCTTAGTCAAAAAACGAGTAGGATTTTCTATTGGAATTAAAAAATATTAGGAAGGAATTACATGGGCAACGATACAATACAATCTTTATAATTCGTAATTCAAGGGACCAACAAAATTTCACGAGTTTTTTAGACATAGAGGAGTTAAGAAGCAAAGATTTCGGTATAAACGGGCTGCAAAGCGTTTTTTTTTAATAACAGAAGCGAAACTAGCAGTTATGACTTTTATTATGTATTTTTTAGACTAGAAAAATTGTTTAAATAAAATTAGATTAAAAAGTTGACTTTTATTATTTCAGTCACCTTCACCTGGTATAATTTCACTATGGTTTCTCCATGTTAAAGGATAATAAAAAAGTGCAGACCGAAAGCGTATTCAAACCAGAAATTTGTTTATGGTAAACAAGGATCGCCAGGCGCCAAATCACATGTGTTTTAGTTTGAAACAAGCACGGTATAGTTTATTTTTTTTTCTCAGTGTATTGGCACATCCTAGTTATAAAGGTATCTATTTATATCATTTCCTTGCGTGTATTTTAATTTTGGAAACTGAAAAAAATACAACTTCATACATAGCCAGATAACCAGGAAGCTGTGAATATCTTCACTCTTTGAAAAAAGTCAGTTAGTGCAGAGATACGAGCATTAAGAAGCTTTAGGGTGGTATACATACACTGTGACGAGTATATTCTTATTCAAAACTTGCAAATAAAATATCTGTTAAAATCAAATAATAGAAGAACTACCTTTTAAATCAAATCTTTATACTTCAAATTATAATTGTTAACCGTTCAACTTTTCCAAATACAACTTTGCATGAACATATTTATACTGGTCACACTGTACATATGCACATAAAACCAAATTTTTAAAAGAAAAATTAATGAAAAGCCGTGTGTGGTATTCACAACATTTAATAAGAGTTTCTTTGAAAAGCTACTTATGAAAATTATTTATGGCCCTTTGCCTTCATATGGCACAATCGATTACATGTGTATGTATAAGCAAATACATAAATAGATAGTCGGGTTAACAGTTTTGCAGTTACAGAAAGAATGTGCATATTTTTAGGCCCCAGCTAATAAAAGTTGTACAAACGCTATTAAGTTGCCACTTCTTTTTAAATGATTTATGTTCCTTGATATTCAAAAAATATGTACATACATACCAGGGTTGTTGCGAATATTCGCATCCGCATTCGCAACAGCGGAACTTCTGCATTAATTTTAACATTCGCATTCGCATTCGCAATAATCAATGCGGAGCTTTTGTGAATGCGAATATTGTGCAAGTGCACCGATAAAACGTACATATATGTATATGGCAAACAAAATGACAAATTGCAGCCAATATTTTTGCCTGTGGTCATAGGAGTATTTGTGTAACATAACAAGTCAAATGTCATATTTATCAACTTTGATAAAAATTTCTTTAAACATATTATTTCTTAAGCTATTTAACCTTTGAGGTGCGTCAAAGCGAACACAGCCTTTTTAACAATTTTTTTTTTTATGCTTTAAATACCTGCATTGGTTTCTTTCTTTATTATGATTTTTTTGGACCAATCTTAAAAAAACTACTAGACACAAAAGAAGAAAGTGTGCACTGCAATTCTTAATCAAATTTTCGTGATTTGCTCTTGATGTTACATATATTCGTTTCAATAATTTCAAATGGGGCTCTTTGGAGAATTTATTTTTAGCAAAAATTTTAAAAACAGTAATTTTGTTTACCTGTCGGGCAATATTTTTTTCATACGGATATACATTGAATCCTTGGCTAAAAACTTCAGTGATAAAACTGACCCTTCTTTGCTATTTACAGGCCTATTCTGCGTTGGCAACAAAAATTTTGTTACCGGTTAGTAAAGTTACTGTCAATTTTTAAACCCTTTTCGTATTCTCCACACTCTTGTAACCGGTAAATTTTGTTACCATCTCATGAGCAGGTAACAAAATATTGCCCCGTGAAATATGCAACACCAGCTGAATTGCTGAATAAATTAAAACGTTACCAAGGTAAATAGAATTGCGGTTGCAAGTGGTGACAGTTGTTGGTAACAAAATTAGCTTGTTACAAAATGTTTGGTTACAAGCAGAATAGGCCTGTTAAAGTCAAAGAGTAAGCTCCTTCAACAGGGATTTCCAGCAGAAATGATCAACGTCTAGCTATAAAGAGAATCGATGCTCAAATAATAAATAACACGATAGGTCTGGCAGCCACGGCTTTAAACAGAATTTTGTTCAAAATTTTCATTCCTGGAAAATAATAATTTATTTTCCATATCCACATATTTAGCTCGCTATAAGCACACATTTTTCAAACCAGTCGCAAAAAAATTATTAAAAATGAATTACAAAAAACTCAAATTGAAAAACGCTGATGACGTTACAGATTACCCAAATTCTAAAACAGCCATTGGAAGGAGAACGAAGAATTCGTTTTAAAAAGCTTTAGAAAAACCTGACACATTTGGTTTGGCTTGTAAGCGCTGTGTAAATCGGCGAGTCGCCAATATTTTGCCATTGACGATTGTTGCCTATTTCTCATGTTTTGCATGGTGGGATCTGTCGCTTGAAAAAGTTCTTTGCCGTTGCTGTACATTTTCTCAAAGCAATAAATATAAAAACATTTATCTGTATTGAGAGCGAGAGGGGCAAATTCTCATACTATTAGAATTTTGCGAAAATTTAACTTTTTCACTGTAGCATTTTAAGAGGTTGAAAATCATAAAAGGCTTTTTCCTGGCAAGAAATTATTTGGCGAATTATTGTTAGTAAAAAATTTGTGAAAAAACTTTCCATTTTAAAACAGAATCAAGACGAATTTTTAAATTTTGTTGCGAACGCTCGTTTAAAAAATCAACACATGGTCACTTATTTGAGTCACTGTATGTACATACATATAGAACACATTTTCTTTTACATTTCTTGAGCGGTTTTGAAATGCATATTTTTTTTTTTGGTTTTTCTTGAAAGCTGAATACTAAGCTGTATATATGTAGTAGTGATAAGAAAAAGTGGCCTATAATTTTATTAATGCGGAAGTCAGATGCTGACGAAGCAGTCATAACTGAAGACTGGTAAATGTTTTCAGAATATTAGCGAAATGTGATGTGTACATTAGGGTGGCCCTTATTTCGGTCTCACCCCCTAGAAATGTGTGAACAGCATAAAGACTAAAAAACTATGCAAAGTTTTAGGTCAATCAAAAAAGATTTAGAGGTGGCTCAAAGCGCTCAAATCTATTTCCATGTATTTCATATGGAGAAAAAACTATTTTTTTCGTAGAAATTGTAGAAAATCAATATTTTTCAATCTACAACCTTTTTCTCTTCAGGAAACTTTCAGAAAAAACACTCAATCGTTTATGTAATAATTTATTAATATTTATTATTTTCTATGGGTCCCCCAAAAACCGAAAAAATGCAATGGGGGAACCCATAAAAATTCGTTAATATTAAACAAATTTTAAATAACCAATTGGATAATATTTTGGTTGATCTAAAACTTTGCATAGTTTAGTCTTTAGGATAATACTTTGTGAATCAAAAAGAAAAAATTAAACGATTTTCCCACGGCCCTCTGAATTACATTGTTCGCTTCCCCCATTACGATCGCGAACTATCCCATTCCCACGGGCACATTCTTAATTCGATTTGACAGTTCTCTGTCTCCGTGTTTTGTCTTTTCTTTCTTCGCTTCAAAAATGTAAGTTATTGCTAAATATTTTTTAAGTTACCGTATTAAATATTAAGTATTAAATATGAACCAAATGAGATACTGTTTCTACCGTAACAATTGAAGTAATGGTCCCTGCAAAAATCGTTGGACCATGTAGTCTATTTGTGGTAAATTGGAGTACTTACAAAAGTGTTCCTCTGTCATGCTGTAGCGGACCAACTCGTGTCTCTGCGCCAGCTTATTGTTTGTTATCCGATAATTGCTCGTGTTTTAACGAAATGTGATTGAAGTTGAGCATTTGAAAGCACATTTGCATGTCTGGCTGTAGCTGAACGTGTAGAGATGTTCGCTGTTAGTTCTTAGCTCCCAGCATGTTCGGGTTCGAATGCCGTCAGAGGCAACATGTAATTTTTAATTTTTGTCTTGGTTTTTATTAATTTCGAAAAAGCATTTGAGAAGTGAAGAACAAAAGCGTGTACA